CGAGAAGCAATTGTTATATTACGGCTTGCGATCATTGCTGTATTCAACAGACCTCGTGCCGGGTTAGCTTCGGTCCTTGCATCGCCGACAAAACACCTTCGGCGGAAGTACAACTGCATCATTGGAGGATTGGGAGTATTATTCGCCAATCGATTGTTGCTTGGGATCCTTGCTTGGTTCCCTTTCCTGTTGCCGCCAATTCCCCGTCCTCGTGCCTGTCGACGACTTCATTGCCTCGTTCGACGGACTGAATGAACGTGCTTCTCTCTTTTCAAGTTGTAGAAGTGCGACTTTGCCTGTTTTAACTTGATCTGGGATATTAGGTACGTTGGTAGCTTAGCAACCGGTTGCCTGACGCCGGCATTCCTCCCATTCCTGCACCCTTGAATACGTCCCGACATTCTCTCCCCGGTGATCTGCGCCGCAACCCTAGCAAAACATTGCCATCCCCCTCAAACGCTCTCCCAGCCGCTCGAAAGAAGGAAAACAAGTTGTTGACGTGATGTCTACAGTGTCGGATGATACCTGCACGCCAAATATCTCCAACCACTCTTTCAACTACTCGATCACCATTTGATTGATTGACTCAACCTTTTGCAGCAACCGGTCTTTTGCTTGTACTCGAACTGTGAGGATGCTCATTGATTTGACCGTCCTTTGAACCTTGGTCGCCGGTGACCTCGACCCATCCCTGTATAGATATTATATGCTGGAACATACGAAATGGATCAAATGAAGCCTCATATTGCGCCATTGAAGATCGAAAAAGGAAACAACTTTCGCCCCGTCGCAAACCGTTTCTATTCCAACGATAGTCAGATCACACCCCCAACAACACCTCATCCGAATACCGAGGAGGACACGATGGACCGCTCAGACAGCAACCGTACGGTCTTCCACAACTACCTCCGCGCGTTCTACCCGTTTCACCCCGCTGGAGATGTTTCGCCCTCTACAGTTACTTTGCCTCTGGATCAAGGCGATATCATTTTGGTTCACTCTGTTCACACCAATGGCTGGGCCGACGGCACGCTTCTGGATACAGGCGCTCGGGGCTGGTTACCCACTAACTACTGTGAAGCTTACGACCAGGTTTCGATGCGCCCGCTGCTCAAGGCCTTGACGGACTTCTGGGACATCATCCGTGGAGGATGCGGATCGCCACTGATCGACTTTGGCAATCAGGACCTCGTTCGGGGCTTGATTGCTGGTGTTCGATTTCTACTGGAAAAGTCGGAATGTCTCACTCGCGACTCGGCACTGGTGAAAGGCCAAGACGGATTGCGACGGAATCGCAAGGCATTATTATCAGATCTGTCGTCACTAGTGCGAACGACGAAAAAGTTTCAGGAACTATCCAGTGGGGAGCCGATGCAGGAAGAGATCGAGTGGATGGTGGATCAGATGCTGCTGAAGGCCTTTCGCATCGTAACTCGGGGTGTCCGGTTTCTCGATGTTTGGAACGAGGAGGTCGGTCTCAGCAGGGCGATTGCGGAGCTTGAGCAGCAGCAAAACCAAGACATCCCTCCGACACCTACATCCGAAACCTTCTCACCAGTGGACGATGCTACATCTGAGGTCGAGACGGAGCGAAACGAGTCTAGACTGCTCAACCGAAGCCGATTGGAGAGCCGCCTGGAAAGTCGATTAGAGAGCAGGTTAGACTCTCGACTAGAGAGTCGCCTGGAGAGTCGATTGGATATGAGCCGGGCGTCAGCTCGGATGGATGCGTTTGACTCACAACCTCCGCGTCCCATGTCGGTATCTACCAAACGCATCTCTGTCTCGCACCGGGTGTCTTACAGCGGCCCCGCCACCGCTACCGCCCGAAACCCAAACCTCGCATCTGAGCGCCTCACAACCACTTACGATGCATTCCTTGGGGTGTTGGGCTCTTTCATTGGTCTGCATTTGCAATCCCGCTCTTCGACAGAGCTGGTCATCACAACCGAGCAGGCGGTGCGCTCTTGCCGTGGGCTCCTCACGGTGATTGAGGCCGTGTGCGAACATGATGCGCAGGGCAGCACACTGCTAGAGCAAGCCAGAGACACCATGTATGAGCGCCTGTCGGAATTGGTATTTGCCGCCCGCGACGCCTTCCGCCCGGCTAACTCGCCTGACGACGAGCTGGTGTTTATGCCGGATGAAGGCAAGCGCCTGRTCGATGCGGCAACCGACTGCGTGCGAGCGGCTGGTAATTGCATGGCCAGAGCTCGCCTGGTGCTCGAGCAGAGCGGTGACTTTGAGTTAGTCGCCAACATTGCCGAAGAAGCTGAAGAGGATGAGACTACGCCTAGTAGCGCGCTACCCGAAGAAAACTCCACCCCACAACCGCAGCGCACGGCCGACGTGGCAGAGCAACGCCCTCAGGAGATGGCACGACTGCCCCCACCTCCACTGCAGATCCCCCAATTCAACAATGTTTCCTCCCCATCCACCCCTGGTCTGACGGATGACATGACACCTGCGTCTTTCCAGTCGCGCAACGAAGCCTTTACCCCTGCAACAACCGAGCCATCATCATCCTTCCAATCTTCTGTCCTGTCACTCAGCTTTGACAAGCTCTCTTTCCCGTCTTCCCCTCAGGATGCCTCGTTTGATGACTCGTTCCGTCGTGACAGTCATGCCAAGTCTGAGGTCAGCGACTCGTATAGCCGGGGCGTTACCAGTAACGCCAGCAGTTTCACCTACAACAACCTTCGGGACTCGGAAATGAGCGGTGTGTCTCAGACCTCAACCAGGGCGACCTCTCCCGACATTGGGATGGCGCCATCGCTCAAGAACAGTGTCAGCTACTCGACCCTGGCGGAAGAGAACGAAGAGACTGAGGCCAATGTTTTGGAAAAGACATATGCGCACGAGTTGATCTTCAAGGATGGAAACGTCATGGGTGGAAGCCTACGCGCATTGGTTGAGAAGTTGACGGCCCATCAGTCGACGCCGGACGCGATGTTCGTCTCGACATTCTACCTTACCTTCCGCCTCTTTGCATCCCCGATGGAATTTGCTGAGACCCTAGTTGACCGCTTCAACTACATCGGGGATACTCCGCATGCAGCTTCGCCTGTGCGTCTACGCGTGTACAATGTTTTTAAAAACTGGCTCGAATCTCACTGGCGCCATGACTGCGACAACGTAGCCTTGGAGTTCATCATTGAGTTCTCCAACAACCAGCTGATGCAGAATCTGCCGAGTGCGGCGCATCGTCTCCTCGAACTGACGGACAAAGTCGCTAAGCTTCAAGGCCCAGTGGTTCCTCGCCTTGTCTCCTCGATGGGCAAGACCAACACCGCCACGGCGCAGTACATTCATCCCGATACCCCACTTCCGCCAACATTGCTTAAGAAGAAGGAGCTCGACCTGCTCAACAAGTGGAAGAACGGCGAGGGCACGATCAGCATCCTCGACTTCGATCCATTGGAACTCGCGCGACAGTTCACCATCAAAGAGTCGCGTATCTTTTGTGCCATTCTACCCGAAGAACTCTTGGCGACTGAATGGATGAAGAAGACGGGCTCGCTTGCAGTCAATGTCCGCGGCATGTCTACTCTTTCCACCGATCTCGCGAACCTTGTTGTGGATTCCATCCTGCAACTCGAGGAGCCAAAGAAGCGGGCAGCCATCATCAAGCACTGGGTCAAGATCGCCAACAAGTGCCTGGACCTCAACAACTATGACTCGCTCATGGCTATCATTTGCTCCATCAACTCATCTATGATCTCGCGGCTGCGACGCACCTGGGAGATTGTATCCCAGAAGACGAAGGGGACGCTAGAGTACCTGCGGACGATTGTTGATGTGGGTCGAAACTATGCAGTTCTCCGACAGCGTCTGCAGAACCACGTTCCACCCTGTCTGCCATTTGTCGGTACCTACTTGACCGACTTAACCTTTGTGGATCACGGTAACCAGGCTCTTCGCAGCCTCCCGACCGATGATGGCGAGATGGCTGTGATCAACTTCGACAAGCACGTCAAGACCGCCAAGATCATCAGCGAGCTGCAGCGCTTCCAGATCCCGTATCGCCTCACCGAAGTGCCAGAGCTGCAGGCCTGGATGCAGAACGAGCTGGTTCGCGTTCGATCCAACGGCGAAAGGAGTATGCAGACCTTCTATCGTCGGTCGCTTGTCCTTGAGCCGCGCGAAACACAGCCACTTCGCAGCACGCTGCAGTCAGAGTCGAGTTCACCGTCGCTCCTGGAGAACGCGAAAGACAAGTTCGATTTCTTATCGTGGACCAACGCTTCGAAGACCAAGTCGGTTACGAGCAACGCTTAGGCCGTCATCTACCTCTCATTTACCTCATCACCCACCTACCTAACTTCCTTCTTTACGACTAATGAACTTCTCTCCATGTTTAATTGGCGTTTTTTTTATACCTTCTTGGATATTATTGTCAGTCATTGTGGATACCTTTTATTTGTTCCTGACTCTGTTTTATTACCCTCTCTTGTTTTCCCTTGTGTTTTGATTCAACAGCGACGGCGGGGAAAAGGGATTTAAAAGTATGGGAACATACAGGATAGAGCCTCGCGGCTCGGCTATATACGAGGCAGCCGTCATGAGGGACGAGACGTTCTGATGACCTTGCCTGTCGATCACTGGTTGGATTTGCATTGCTTTGGACTTGACTGGACTGGGTTAATTGTTTGGCATGGATGGGATACCTTGGGAGGACCTTGGGAGGAGTTAACTGACAAGCTCAGCCTGTATTATCTGTATATAGCTCGATCAATCAATCATCATCACAATAATCTGGTTTCCTGTTTTATCATGTGAGGCTAATGCCGCTAGACCGCGGCAGCATATTAAATAATTTCTGCACAGCGTGAAGAGTACCCACTTGTAGTGAAGACTTGGACCCTTGGCTGCCTCACGTGATCCCCCAGATGATCTTCAATCTTGTGTTGATGAAAAACACTCTTCCTCTCTTTCTTCCTTCGCATGTTTTCACCCTTGCCTTTGAAGTCGCAATAATTTTGGATCACAGAAGGTTCAAAATGGTGGCGACAAAAGCACCACCACCAGATTTGTCCGCCTTGGGCGACATCCATGCTCCAGATAACCCTATCTCAAGCAACACCAACACTGGCTCAGGCACAGGCACAGGCACACCCGAAGCCAGATCCAGATCCAGGTCTGCGCGCACCAACACCCGCACCCGCAGGCGGGACTCAGGATACCATGAGGACGCCAAGGAAAGTCTCAGCTCTAGTTCTCGGAACTCGTTTATCCTGGGCGGCGGGGAGACGGTGGGCATCGTTGGCTCGGGGATGGCGGGGCTTGCTGCAGCTTTCTTGCTTGGGAATGACAGGCAGAGGAGGTTTGAGGTTGAGCTCTTGGAGGTGGTACGTTTCTCTCTGCGCTTTTCTGTGATTATGGATTGTGCTGATAGGTGTACAGCAAGATGTTCTGTCGCTGGATTCGGCGAGCTTTGAGCTTCCAAGGTCTACTGAGGCTGAGGCTCAGGCTCTAGAAATAGGAGGAGGCCTTGCTTATGACTTTCCTAAAAACGCGAGGAAGGATGATCAAGACGATGACAACGAAAATGAAGGGAGAAGAGTTGACCTGCCCATGCGCGCCTTCGCTGCCGGGTACTACGACAACCTCCTGAAGATGTACAGGTATCTCGGTGTGGTGTTTGCCTCGCCAAAATTCGTCTACAGCATATCTTTCTCCAAGAACAGCCAATGCCCTGCTTCCGACTCCAAGAAAGACGACGAAGAAGGAGGGGCCTACTTCATCCACTCGTCCAACAACCACATCCTCCCACCTATCCGACCTGCAGGCATTACCGGCACAGAGTACTTCTTCGAAATCCTGTATCTCCTCTTTTGGTATTTCTGGTTTACACTCGCCTGCTTCTGGATACCACCCAAGACGACTCCCCCGCCGAAGAAGGGAAAGAGCAAGGGGAAGAAAAGAAGAAAGTCCAGCGCAAGCGAGACAGAACACGCCCACGACCTCTACAGCAACACCACCGGCACAGGCGAGACCCTGCGCGCGTACCTCTCCCGCGTCAAAATCCCAACCTACTACACAACCCGGTACTTCCTCCCACTCATGTCGAGCATTACAACCTGCACGCACGCCGAACTTCTCGACTTCCCAGCCTCCGACATCATCAACTACGCACGCCAAACCCACCGCAAGCCACACTACACTCTAACCCGCGGCGTCAAAGCAGCCGAGAAGCGCCTCTCCGACGGCCTGAACGTGAGATACAACCACAGAGTCACCAAGGTCGAGACGTTACGGACCGGGCGAGTCCGCGTCCACTTCATTGCAAACCAAGGGAAGGAGAGCGAGCGCGAAGGCGTGAAGGAGTACGATCGCGTCATCATCGCCACAACGCCCGATGTCACAGGGAAGATCTTCAGTCCGCTCTCGCTGGCGATGAAGGTCATTCCGACGACGGAGGTGCGCACCGTCGTGCATCGCGATCGCAGCCGCGTAGGCAAGACCAGCGCTTACCTGGGTGCCAATGAGCGTCTGCAAAAGCGCAACATCAAGACCTTTGATCAGGATAAGTCGATTGCGTCGTCGAATGGTTCACGGGGCCCAGACGGCTCCTGCGCTTCTGTTCTCACGGCCATGCATATGGTCACTGAGACCGATGCCTCGGGTACAACGCGCACCGAATCGATCCACGAACACCCAGCCAACGTCCTAGTTACCACATACGCGCTTGAGAATAGCATCGCAGAGGACAAGATCCTGCACAGCGTGCGCTTCACGCGCGTCCTTCGAACATCTGCAAGCCGCGACGTGGTGAATTCGCTGTTCTCGTACGCGAAACCGCCCGGCGCGACGGCGTGTAAGGACAAGGAGAAAGGGAAGGACGCCGTCGCCGTTGAAGGGTGGAAGAACGGCGATGGCAATGTCTATGTTGTGGGTGGTTGGTGCTGGGATGGAATGGTCCTGCTCGAGGGGTGCGTGGTTTCAGCTGTGAGGGTTGCGAACGAGCTTGGGATTCAGGCGCCGTGGGATCAGGATGAGGAGCAGGAGACTTGGTTTTAGCGTCTGGCTGTCTGCGTGTCTGGCTATTGTGACGCGGTCCCGGCTTTCTGGTCCTGGCTTGGATTACGCGTGTCCTTTTGGTGCGATGTGCTGTCTGCGATTCTTTGGCTATGACATGTCCTACATGATGAGCATGAGGATGGGGCGACCGATACATACACCCTCCTGATCTATGCTCTGCACATACGAAACGATTGTACGAGTTTACGACATTTCTTTCTTCTCTCATGTATCTAAGGTTTCTATACTTGGTCTATCTACATGATCTGTAATAGAGTAATGCATAAGTCCTAATCTGACGTTCTATCTATCCAGAAGATCAAAGCATACATACAGTTAACAGTAATCCCTAAAAAACCGGGCCTAGCGAAGAATCGCCATCCCTATTCTCAGCGCGAGTCAACCAACCTACCGACTCCGTACTTCAGAGGAGTCAGACCGCACCCACCATCAACGCCACGCCCAAGCAATTCAAATGATGTCATGCCGCGCCACTTCGTCCGCAGAATAATCAACGGGCAGGGTTTCCAGGATGAAAAAAAAAGAAATTTCTGGAGCAAAAAGTCGACACCTGTGAGATTCGAACTCACGCTCCCGAGGGAAATGCCTGGCTTGTATCATTAAAGATACTATAGCAGGGCATCGCGTTAACCACTCCGCCAAAGTGCCTTGCTTATATTTACTGGTTACCGGATTAATGTATTCCTCGTCATATAAATTAGGTATAGGAAAAACGAGACCAAAAAGTCGACACCTGTGAGATTCGAACTCACGCTCCCGAAGGAAATGCCTGGCTTGTATTATTAAAGATACTATAGCAGGGCATCGCGTTAACCACTCCGCCAAAGTGCCTTCTTGATATGTTTGTGCTTGGTAGCAATTAAAATAATAACAATAGCTGGAGCAGACTGCTTGGGCCTCGCTTAGATACCGCCGGACGACCAAACGAGATCCATCCAGTACTCGCGACTCCTCAAAGACGTCTGTCAGGCGTCGAGTCCAACGTCTCCTTCCAGTCTCTAATCCATAACTATTGACTATCTGCACGAACCAGCCTTCTCAGCATGCGATTGCGAAGTGCACCAGGCGAGATGGACAACTGTCCCTCGGCAGCCAGTGGACGAGGCCTGGACATGGTCTGGTTTTAATGCAGTTGGGGACAGGCTAATCAAAGGCAGACTCGGCTCGGTTGAAGCGAGCTGTGTCTACGCAGGAGGCTGGTGGTGTCCCCGATCTGCTTTGCGATGGAGGCAGTGGGCCTAGGTGATCTTACCCATCGAAAGTACAGTACGGATGGCGCATTAATGCTCCGCAGGAGGCATTCTACAGTAAGATTGCATTGAGGTCTACTGGCCGCCAGCTGGCTCTCGAGTTAGGGAAGGACATTCTTGTCTCTTTGGCCCTGACCGGGGGTGTAGTCCCTCCAGTTCCCTCTCGAAAGGTCCTGCAACTCCACTCGATGGGCAGTCGAATACTAACCCAGTCAGAAGTTTCTATCTAGTCGTGCTCACAAACCATTCAGCATCCCCTCGGGAAACACATCCTGCACCAACGAATCCCAGTCCAGAAGCCGTGCAAGCCCAAGCATTTCATACGGCGACAGGTCCACCGCAACATCCAAAAGCTCATCACAGTGGCGCAAGTCGTATTTGGGTCGGGCTCATTGCCTCTTGAGGAGTTTCCTAGCTTGTTGCGCATAAGTGGCCATCTCGGCATCGGCGTTGGTATCGGAAACGGCGTTAGGATCACGGACCATCGCCTCGGGGTTTGGGCCAGGGACAGGATATGACCCGGGGAAAACTGAGATGAGGACAAGCACGACGGCTGAGGCGTGGGTTGCTTCGAGGTCGAAGGGGAGGAAAGTTTCTAAGCGCGGTTGTCCGACCTCACACCAAACACAGAACAGGGGACTAAGAGAATTGGAAATGAGAAAATGGTCTACCAAGCAAATCCTGCTCTTGCGGTCTGGAAAGTATGCGCAGGGACTTGGTTGCCGAGTCCCTGCATGCCTTGATGAGGGATTTGATGGGATCTGGGCGTACGGGCTACCATTGACAGTACATACAGCCTGTGGCTGTCGTGCGGGAGCAGAAGGGGAAACCAACATGAGTATAAGCACTATCACGATGGTCAATGCACTGGAAGTACAGTGAAATGGCACATGGAATCTCGATCGCCAGAAAAGTGTCCTGGTAAAGCTCGCTGACATTGGGCAGGATGCTGATCGCGCGCAGAAAATACTGCCGGCCGCCACGAGTCTCGCCAATCTGGTCCACCATGCCGATATTGGTGGCATTGCGGCAGGCTCAATGCCTCCGCATTCAAAGGAAATCTGGCAGCAAGGAGCTTCCTTTACTGCATTCAAGCTGGTCGAGGAAGGGGTCTTTGACAAGGAAGGTCTGGCGGAAATCATGCTACACAACCCCGCGACGTATCCAAGATGCACCGGTACGAGAACCTGATCAGACAAGTTGAGCGACTTGAAGACCCAGGTTACTGCAAACCAGAAGGGTATCTAGCTGATTCAACAGTCAATAAAGCAGTATGGCCTTCCGACAGTTCAGGTATACAATCCCTTTGTAAAGTTGTCGTTGTTATACTAACTGCCTCCAGAAATACATGCAAGACAACGCCAGAAGGTCTGCGACCTGCTCCCGAGGTCCGAGCCGTCCACGGCCAACTGAGTGACCTTCCGCTGCAGGCAGTTGACTACATGGACGACCGCTCCAAACTATGCCTCCAAGTCAAGATCAACAGAGAGGACGGCTCTGCCACATTCAATTTCACCGGGACATCGCGAGAGATATACGGGAGTCTCAACGCTCAAAGGGTCACACTTAGTGCTATCACCTACGTTCTGCGCTCGCTGGTGAATAGCGATATACCGCTCAACCAAGGCTGTCTCGTATCAGCGTGAGCATGACTCAAAACTGTTTTCAACTGATCCCGGTTGGTCGCAGAATTTCAGCAAGGGAGGTTTATTCTGATGTTTTCTTGGAGATTGAAAGTGTAAAAGCGGATTGATTTGATTGAGGCGTCCTTCGTCTCCGGGAAGGTCAAGGTCCTTCCGCATACGCAACTTCAACATCATCCAAAGGCACTTCGGTAATACCACATGGGCTTACACATGGAAAAGTGCCAGACAAACATGCCCAGCGAAGAAGCTTAATCTGTTGTGACGTGGACTGACTATTAGAACATATGCATGCACCCGCGTCTGCCTCGCATCTGCGCAGTTCTGATTTGACTGATATGCTACCTTAGACCGGTCCAGTCCTCAACTTCTTTGTTTTCCCTGGAAAGCTCGGCGAGGCATATTCTTGGCGCTGTGGTTGAGTTGGTTATTGATACTCTCTACTCTGGCACGTCTTTAACGTCTCTGGGATAAATATGCCAGCAGGCTAACCCATCAGCATCACTGCACCGTCGGAACATTAGCAGCATTCCCGGTAGCTATTATGCACGCTACAATCTCTCGGAACATACTCTCTACGCGAGCGAGAGTGTACTGCATGCTATGTCACCTACACATGCTGCTTCGAATTCCTGATTTGTTTCGAACACGGATCACCGGGGACCCCTTGTACCCCGTACGTTACAGCATTCCAATTAGGGCTGACTGCAGTGTAACGGACAACTCAGATCAAGTCAAGGTTCCCCCTCCTTGCACCGCCGCTCCCCTCGATATATTCCCTGGATTCACCCTCATTGTCCTCTTGGCAGAGTCTCACAAACATATTCAAGATCACCATGCCAGGAACAATCCTCATCACCGGCGCCACCAGCTCCCTCGCCACACGCGTCATTCACCTTCTCCTCACCAGCTACTCACATCAAGACCCGGCTCCCGAACACGAGAACAAACATGAGTTTACGCTGCTGCTAACAGCCCGCAATCCATCTAAGCTCAAAATCAAACTCCCCGAACTCACAGGCAACACAAACATCAGCGTCAAAGTTAGAACCCTCGACCTCTCTAGCATCTCATCCGTGCACACCTTCGCTACAGAAGTCAGCGCAGACGTCCAATCTGGCAAGACCCCGCCGCTAACTAGCATTATCTGCAATGCTTCGCACTGGGATCTGCGCAAAGAAGAGGAGGTAACGGACGATGGATACGAGAGGACATTCCAAGTTAACTTCCTCGCGCACGCGGTGCTTATCCTCCGGCTATTGGGTTCATTTAAACCGGAGGCGGGAGGACGCATTGTGCTTCTCACCTGCGATGCGCATCTACGCTGGCCATTGAAATCCGTACTTGAACGAGGACGCGCACGCGGCCTGGAGAAGTATCCGCCTGGTATGCCGGATGATCTAGATGAGTTGGTCACGGTCGAATCTCAGGCTCAATGTGAGCCACAGTCTCCCGAACAGATTTTAGAAGAGCTGCAGGAGAAGCCGAAGATCAGGAAGAAGGAGAAGCCGGAATTCATGGCCCGCGGAATCCGGCGACACGCAAACTCCAAGATTGCCATCATCATGTGGATGTACGCGTTGAACCGGCGGTTAGAGGAGGTTCGCGCGCCCATTTTCCTTTTTTTTAGGTGCCAGAGATACGTATGCTAATGGCATGACGCGCCAGGACATCGCCCTCAACACCATCACCGCCATCGCAGTCAACCCGGGGACCCTCCTCAACTCGCGCCAGCTACGAGTCAACACCTCACTGCGTCTGAAACTCCTTTCTCTCTTCCTAATGACGGCCGTCCGCCCCTCCCTCTCCTTACTCTGCCGACTACCGTTTGTGGGGACGAAGGTCAAGGCTAAGAAGACGATGCGGACGTGTGCTGGGGCAGCGGGCGGGGTTGTGGGTTTCGCTCTGGACGTCAGGATTGATTCTGGCGCTTCTGCCGGTGTCTCTGCGGATACGGGGCCGGATTCGAATGAGGTTGATGGCGACGGCGATAGCGATGGCGATGGTGATGGTGACGGCGGGTATTATACGCTTTCGATCCCCGTCAAAGACGTGGGCTTGCCGGATATGGAGTGCCTGGATGAGGAGAGGCAGGAGGCTTTGTGGCGGAAGACATTGCAGTGGGCGGGGATTTGGAATGGAAATACGGCGATTCGAGTTGACATTTAATCTACAGTATCTGGGTTGATGATTCTGCCTTCATTTTGGGGGTTTCGTGATGCATGATTCTGGCGGGTATGGAACCTGGGAAAATGTCCGTACGTAAAGCGGTATCTAGGAGAAGGGCAACGGCTGCCTTCTCATGAGATATCCCAACAGAATGATTCTTGATTACGGAATTATGAGGGACCCATTCGTCGAGACGCAGTAGGTATCTCTTAGCGCCACTCCCGAGCTTGAAGAAACTGAGGAAAGGAGGTCCTTCCCTTCCTTCTTCCCCCTTAGGGACAATATTAATGATATGATAGAGGGCACCATGGCCATCCAGACCAAGCCATACACCAATTTACTGATAAGGCAGTGGACCCTGCAGATGAGTCGGAATGCCCCGCCTTCCGCAGCAGGCAGCAGCTTTTCCCGACTCTTCTTCTGAGCTTCTCCAATCTTCTGAGCCAGGCTGCGGCGTTTCAAGCCCGACGAGAATCTGTTTGCTGTCATGCAAGAAAAGGGTCTAAGTCTAACATGTCTGCAGCATGGCTGTTTAAACTTTGCTTCTAGTCTCTAGAGGCTGACCGTTGACCGTTGACGTTGGCAGTGGATGCTTCCATTCCAGGCACGTTCTCGCCTCACCACTCTGCCGGAAAACCCTGCGCTGATTACACTAAGACATGGCGCTGCTGTAGATTGCTTAGGCTTGCCGGTTTGCCATCAACAAAGAGACAAGATCCCACTCGCAATCTATACGACACAAATCGAACTGGATTGAGAACCCTCCGCGGGACCAGGGGCCAGGGTCAGGTAAGACAACCTCAAACGGCCGAACTGGCCAGGGAACTTCAGGCACAGACGAGTTCGAGAAAAGCTTCGAAGCCTCGGCACCGTCCTGATCCAGGCTGATCTCCGGCGAAGCTTTGCTCGCGAGTGGGGAGGCCATCTGCCAAGTGGGGACAGGGGGTCGACCGCTGTTTGAGATACGCTAAATGAATCGGATAGCACCCTATATTAAGCGACTAAATGGGATAGCACCCTGAAATAGCGCCGTTCTAGACTTGTTACATAACTTGCCTAGTAATTTATTAGTAAACTTGTTCTCCACTGCTATCGCCTGACTAAATAAAATAGCACCCTTAATTATACTAATTAAACCGCGTACTCTGAAGCTATTCCAAGCTTTTAAAATTTAGATTTATATTAATATAACGGAGGAATCTCATTAGTTAATTTAAAAAGGGGTAATTATTTAAAATAAATAACTTTGCGCGCGCGCCGCGCGCCCGCAGAGGCCTTATACGCCCGCCAGCTTGGTATTGCGTTCTGGTAACTTAGTAACTGCGGAAAGATCTTAGGGGTAAAGGCCTTGGTGGTAAGAAGTTAACATTGGCCGCCGCGAATTCCTATTGGCTACAGGGCGTCTTGGCGGGGTGGCCTTTACTAGCTAAGACACGGCGCTATACTCTATTAGGCTTAATTTTGTACGGGTGCTATCTCATTCAGTCGCTTAGTATAGGGTGCTATCCGATTCATTTAGCGGTTTGAGATAGCTTGCCCTGACCACCCTGAGGTGATTCCTCAGCCCTAGGCCGGTGAATGCCGGATATTCATGGATGACGGCTCCATGAGTTGGATTGACTTGACCCCTAGGCTGGCCATGGTCCAGGGCCAGGTATAAAAGGCTGGGACGCGCCCATGTCTTGCCTCCTCAACATCGTCCTTCATTCTCTGCTTTACTCGGGATCTGTTGATCAAGTCCCTGTCGTTCTTTGCACTCCCACTCAGTCCTTACAATGCATTTCTTTCAGAACTCTCTCATCGCTGCGGCCATGGGCGCTGCGCTGGTCGCCGCCGCCCCTGCCGCTGACCTGGAGGCTCGCTCCTCGTGCACCTTCACCTCTGCCTCTGCCGCCAAGTCCGGTGCCTCCAAGTGCTCCACCGTCACCTTGAAGGGCATTGAGGTCCCTGCCGGTCAGACTCTCAACCTGGAGGGTCTCAAGTCCGGTGCCACCGTACGTCTTCCCTTACCATCTTATCAAACCCCCCTAATACCGTCTCTAGGTCATCTTCGAAGGCGAGACCACCTTCGGCTACAAGGAGTGGAAGGGCCCTCTGATCTCCGTCTCCGGTGACAACATCACCGTCAAGCAGGCCTCCGGCGCCAAGATCAACTGTGACGGCGCCCGCTGGTGGGACACCAAGGGCAGCAACGGCGGCAAGACGAAGCCCAAGTTCTTCAAGGCCCACAAGCTCAACAACTCCAAGATCCAGGGCCTGAAGATCTACAACACCCCCGTGCAGGGCTTCAGCATCCAGTCCGACCACCTGACCATCACGGACGTCACCATCGACAACTCCGCCGGTACAAGCAAGGGCCACAACACCGACGCCTTCGACATCGGCTCCTCCACCTACATCACCATCGACGGCGCCACCGTCTACAACCAGGACGACTGCCTGGCCATCAACTCCGGCGAGCACATCACCTTCACGAACGGCTACTGCTCCGGCGGCCACGGTCTCTCCATCGGCTCCGTCGGCGGCCGCAGCGACAACACCGTCAAGAGCGTCAGCATCACCAACTCCAAGGTCGTGGACTCCCAGAACGGCGTGCGCATCAAGACCGTCTACAAGGCCACCGGCTCCGTCACCGACGTCACCTTCGAGGACATCGAGCTCTCCGGCATCACCAAGTACGGTCTTATTGTTGAGCAGGACTACGAGAACGGCAGCCCCACTGGATCCCCTACCAACGGCGTCAAGGTCGACGACATCACCTTCAAGAAGGTCACTGGTTCCGTTGGCAGCAAGGCCACCCGTGTCAACATCCTCTGTGGATCCGGTAGCTGCAAGGACTGGACTTGGTCTGGTGTTGATATCACCGGTGGCAAGAAGAGCTCCAAGTGCAAGAACGTTCCTTCTGGTGCTTCTTGCTAAGCTTCTTCCTGAGTGCTTGGGCTTCTGTCTAAGCGGTGGATCTGGCTTTTCAGGTCTGTGGATAAGCTATCATGCCCTTGTCAACTTCTGGTAGCTTTGGTAATCATTATTGTATATACTCTGTATAATACTCCTTAGAGAATAATCGAATCCTACTTAGGTGGAAGCTGATGTCTCTTATATTGTCTCCGATGTTAGTTTGCTACTTTTCAACTAGGCTCCGTGTACGGCCGTCCTTGCCTGGGTGATCCTGTCAGTTGGTGGCCTTCCTCTCCCCATGATGACATTAAAACGATGACATATTAACGAGTGCGATCAAGGGAGACTGGGGCAGACGGAAATATACCTTCGTATTGGGACATCGCAGCAGTCACCGTCCTCACTAACTCCCTTGCACATCCCTATCCCAACCATAGCGGCCAGTCGCTACGAAGCCCATATAGAACCGTAGATATATGCAAACTGCAAGTCTATAACCTTGAACGGGTTGGATGAAAAAAACTGTATAGCAATAAGCAGTTCAATTTATATAACCCTGTCATCGTCAAGTTCGATTAGTGCCCATTTCTCAATCCATAGACCTATGGAACCGATTACGGCGACAATAACTCAGTGATAGGCACTTTGGCGGAGTGGTTAACGCGATGCCCTGCTATAGTATCTTTAATAATACAAGCCAGGCATTTCCCTCGGGAGCGTGAGTTCGAATCTCACAGGTGTCGTTTTTGCTTGGGTTTTTGCCATTGGCCTTCCTGGAACATGGCATAGTTGGCGAACAATTGTACCCGTCTTGTCTACCTTGCTAAGTCGTTCACCTAAGCCCACTCAGGTTGATGCGGCCGCAGTTGACTTTTGCGCTTTGGAATCCGGGTGCTGATCTCAGGTGGATTGTGGCGGAAGCCGAACCAGGGATTCTGTTAGAGGAGCCTTTCTTAATCTGCACGAGTAGGGTGCGAGTTTTGGGTCTCGGTAAAATGCGTTGAGAGTGCTATACTGTATACACCTAGACTTGAATTAGTGCTCAGTGTCTGCTTATATAATTATGCCCGCATGCTGCATTAGTACAATCTTGATGCAGCAGCCAGGATATATATAGTATCCCAGGTACAGGGGTCATAATGCCTTATACGGAGTAGCTTGATTTTTACTCGCCACTTTTAATTTTGCTTTATAGTTGTCTATAAATGCAGAGATTTCTAACCAAGCCCCTGTGGCCTAGTGGTAAGGCGTGTGACTTCTAATCTCAAGATCGCGGGTTCGAAACCCGCCAGGGGTTGATCACTTTTTGTTTTTGAACTCCAGACTTGTTGCCGTTAGGAATAAACCACGGAGTAGAATACTCAATACAGTATACCGGCTGGCCAATATCGGGTGTCTCTTTTGCACACTGCTATCTCTGTCACATTCCAGGCGGCAAATCTGCAAAGGAAATTTTGGACAGTAGCCCAATGTCCTCTAGGGCCGGCACCGGGCATCAGTGTATGATTGCCCCTCCTGGGGCAGTGACCCTATTTTGCTCACAGCTGAGTACTGCAGTCTCCTTGCACCTTCCACTCTGCAGCTCAATGTTCCATGAGAGATTTCTTCCACAAAATCATTATCTCAGTGGAGTCTGCGACGATCGAGCCACAACCCAGAACCAAACCTGTAGGCCCAAAGAATCGGTTCGCGATGTCGCGTGGTGCACCGTGCTGCTGGTACAGCAGAATTTTCAGTATTATTATTGTTTCCTTGAGGCATGGCGCGCGTCTCATCTCTCCTGATTTATCATTTCCTGCCATAGTCGAATCCTCAAGTGAGTTTTGAAAGCAGCTTCTATGTTTTGCTATAACTCGCCAATATGTGACCCTAGGTCCCGGTCTACTATACGGAGTACGACAATCGCACCTGGACATGGACCGCCCTACAAGGCCCAAGTGCATCTAACCGTGTATGCGAATACTCACATGCTGATATAGGCACAACAGACCTGTTTTGCCAAGCATAAGGCACTTTGGCGGAGTGGTTAACGCGATGCCCTGCTACAGTATGTCGATACTCCATACAAGCCAGGCATTTCCTTCGGGAGCGTGAGTTCGAATCTCACAGGTGTCGATTTTTTTTTATTTTTCTCTCATCAGTCTGTCTACGTGGACTGAGTGAGTATCAGGATGTTGGCCGGCCGTCGAGGCACATCCTCTCGACGCCGTTTATATACCTCCAGATGGCAGAAACACAGCAGACTGTCAAGCACTAGATAACAAAGCCTGTGATGAGATTCTGTTGCATGGATGAACTAAACATGAAGTTCTAAGTTAGCTATGGTAACTTTGCTACCACTTGTTTGTCGATGGCCAGAAGGCCTTTCAAGGTTGGGAGGTGCAAGGTCCCTCTGTTTGTCACCTCGCCATGTCTAGGAATCAGATTTACTAATACTTTCTATGGCTGTTTGATAGCTAGGTATTAATAGCTGATCTCCGTCAGGGATCATCCTAGTTCTTAGAATAATCATTGGATCTTATGGGCTTATGGCCTTTTCATCCAACCAGTAGTTTGATATTGTTCTGATTCCGTTGGCACCGGGTGGGGACCAGAGTTCAATCCAGGAACACGGCTTGCCCCTCCAGCTCCAGCTCCTCCCCGCTCCTCTTCAAACAAACACCTCCCTCCACTCTGCCCACAACAGTCAACTTCACTCATCACCACACTTGCCTTACCTTCTCCACCCACGCAGCTCCAAACTCTGACACAATGTACGAATGCGACGTCTGCGACGATTCCTTCTACGACTACGATGAACTTGACAGTCATCTGAGCTATGAAAGCCACTGGATTGAATGCGAATCCTGTTCCAGATGCTTCCGCACCCAGCGCGCCTGTAACCAACACATGAACTCCACCAGTCACTGGGCACCCAGGTGGTCCTGCGAGACCTGCAACAACAAGTTCCACTCCCAATCGGCAGCTGAACAGCACATGAAGGCTTTGGGCCACTATCGGTTCTACTGCAAGCCCTGCGACCGACGGTTTCAGAACGACAACAACCTGCGCGCGGTACGTGAAAGGTCTCTCCCGGCGAGTCCACCATTCCGCCCGCTTTGTACCATGGTTGTATGATACTTAACCAAGGCGCAGCATCTCAACTCCAAAATCCATCGCGGCCGCCAGATCAACTGCCCCTTCTGCCAAATTGGCTTCACCGCTGCCTCCGGTCTCTCCCACCATCTGGAAACAGGCTCGTGCCGTAGCGCCCCAAGTGTCAACCGCGAGAGCATCTATCGTCTGATCCGCGAGCGTGACCCGCACGGCGTCATCACTCATAAACAGATCGGGTGGAAGGAGGAGCAAAACGCCAGCTACTCCGCGACCGCGCAGTCCTGGAACGGCAGCAGCTACGAGTGCTATCTGTGCCATCGGTCGTTCCGGCAACTAAATGGGCTTAATCAGCACTTGAACTCACCTGTGCACAAGCAGCAGGTCTATCACTGTCCAAACCGCGGCTGCGCGAAGCCCTTTGCCGCACTGGCGGGACTGTTCAACCACCTCGAAAGCGAGTCGTGTGCTTTTATGCGGTTTGAGAAGGTCCAGACTCATGTTGGCAATGTTCTCAGGGGGGATCGGCTTATTGCATTCTGATTGGTCTGGACTTTGTGTCGTGCTTGTTGTATTGCAATGTACGCTGTGGGTTTGCACTAGGACTATTCAGAGGCGCATAATGTAGCCATTGCCAGATACAGGCGATTACAAAGACACTCAATCTGCGTCCCTTTACCTAAGCCACAGCTCCAAGCATATGCCCTGCTGAGTGATTAAAAGAAAGCAGAAGTCAAAGACCGAGCTAGTATAAGTCAGGAAAGGAACTTATGCTGCTTTGAGCCAATTACGCAAAAGGTCAGACGCACTCGAGGAACAGGCGAGGGAGGTGAGAATTTGCTTCCAAGGCAAATTTAAAGGTTGTAAACTGGTTAGAGCCCAAGAGCGTTGGAAAGAGTTACTCATGAACCGGAGCCTCGAACCTCACCTCCGCAGGCTGGATAGAACCTTCACGCCATTACATCATGCTTCAGATCCTGCTCTCTATCTCTAGACTGTTATTCATTCTCATACAACATTTCCACAATGCCAGAGAAGACCCGCATCCACAAATCCCAACTTCATCACTTCACGCAATGCATCCTCTGTGGGTGCGAGACCCAGAGCCGTCGCATCAACTGACTAGACAGGATCAGCATTCGTCAGTTTCACTTTCCTTACAGTCTATTCCCACGCTTGCTAAATGTAGGCTTCAGTCTACCGACTACGCGGGACAGTCTCAATATCCCGTCCGTGCTCGCGAAACCATGGGCCTTGGTATCCCGAAACCGACGATGCAATCGTATGCTGAAGAGGAATGGAATGCGATAAAGTGGATGCGTCCTCGCCAGTGCCTCTATTCATTGTTCACTCCGAGTGCTGGAAGCTCCTGGTTCACTGTGTCGGGGAGATTGAGAACAAGCCGGCTCTCTAGAGGATCTGGGATGTTTTTGTGACGTTGCCAGCGCTAAAACGTACGCATGCCCTGCGCCTGCTGCTTGTGACCAAGAGCAGATGGGACTAACAATGTTACGTTGTAGATGTATTCTGCGATCTCGCAAACATTCCGACGTAAACCCCCATCGCACACCTGTACTGGAAGAGCGCCAGGCATCCTCCCAAATCGCGTGCAGATTTGAGATATAACGTTCGCTTGCGCAGAAGGCTCAAGGATTGCTTCGCGCGTCTTCCGCTGGAGCTTCGGGAGGGCATTCCCATCTCCCCTTCAACAGCGAAGTACTTAAGCCTACGGTATGTGTCGCGCGGAATGGAAGTGGTGTTCCACGGGCGTGCTTTTGGAAGTCCCGATTTCGAATGGATGGTGAGCGAGGCTTCTGGCATGATATTCGGCAGATGCAGAGGCAGAGGCAGGGGCAGGGACTGTTGATTGGCAGCTGCTATACCGCACTACATCCAAACTCAGACCCCGGATCGAGCTTACGGCGAGAGTGTGGGAGGTTGTCCTTTGGATTGCCGACCACCTCGATGGATCGAGGTCAAGGGTCCGGTTGGAACGGCTTTCATTCGCCGGGAGAGCATTGCAGCACTACCACGGCGATAGCTCTGTGCCCGGTCAACGGGTAGAGTCAGAATCCCCGCCCCTCTCACTAAAATCGGGGCGTCATATATCCCACGCCGAGTCTCGGGACACTAGAAGCTCCCGTCGCAAGCAAAGATATTAGATCGTTGCTGTGGAGTTCCAGTTCCAGAGCGGGCAAACGGCAACCGTCGGAACGACGGCTAAGCAGTGGGTGTTTGATAACCACGGCTTCGAAGTTATGTTTGGTGCGAGCTCGTTCAAGGGGTTTCGTACCCGCTATGACGAGGGTGGGATATCTTCTTTGGATATTTTGGGGCACCGGGATGCACCGTCTGGAGCCATCGGATACGACTTTGATAACGGCCGCCAGTTCGAGATGAAGATGGAGCACGTGGTAGAGATAGTTGCCACTTTTGAGGTCTGCTGCTTTTCTGCGCTTTCAACTCAAGTCTGACTTGTAGTAGGGTTCTGTTTTGATTGATATGGGTCTCCGGGTTCTTGATTGTTCGAAGCCTGCACCGGTAAAGGGGGGCGTAAAGTCGTTGCGAGGTTGCGGTTTGAGCTCGGGTCTAGTATGAAGCATGTACATTTGGATGGGAGGATCAGAGTGACTACTTGGAGCGTAGAGCACGAGGGTTTCGATCTTGATACTGCACAATGGCTTGAATGAATATTGGAAAAAGGAGTCGGGTTCCAATCTATGGATGGATGCAAGTCTTACCTCCCAAATATATATTTAGTTAGACAGTCGGACCTCATGCAACACTGTATCGCCGACAACTTGTAAATTCACAGCTTTCTAAGTAAATAAACCACATCATAAATGAAAATAGCCTGAAAATGCCACTCATATCCACGCCAACCTCACGGCCGCCAAAAACCCCGCGAAGGCCAGCGTCAAAAACACAGTCTCTAACCCCGCCAAGCCCGCCAGATTCTCCATCACAGCCAGAGGGATAGGCACAACTGCCGTGCTGGTATTCAGCAGGCTAGACATGATGCCCAAGCCTAGTGTGCGAGATGCATCACTCGAGGGGATGCCGAGGGTCTCTGCCCCTAATCCCCCTCCATCTTCCTCCGAGTCGGGAGCGTCTGTGGCAGGTCTGGACAGGATAGGCTCGTATTCGTGTTCACTGGGGCTGTCCTCAGCTTTCAAAGGAGGTGTGTAGGCGTGCAGATCCGTCCTGGGAGGAAGGAGGCATCGCACGACGCTGGCCCAAAAGCAGACGCTGAAGAGTGCGTCGGCGTTACCGAGGAGACATAGCGGGAGGATTGGATTGGTGCCCGCACCGGTTATGAAGATCGCATGTACAAGCATCAGGAGGATGTTGCTGGTTATTAAGACGAGAGGGTAGTTTTTAGATGAGAGGCTGTCGAGCAGGAACCCGAATACCGGTACGAGGATACCGGAGAGGATGAATACGATGCTGATGGGGGGAGTGTGAGTTCGGGGTGGATTGCTAGTCCGACGGAAAAACTTGGACATACCTCATCGCTGAGCCAGCAGAGCGCTGGTCCCCGTGGTAGTAACGCACGGCTAAAAAGCGCTGTGCGGAGTTGGTGAATGTGTTGAGGCAGCCGTAGCTCAAAAGGCAGATTAGGGCTAGCTGCCAGTACACGGGCGAGAATTGACGGAATGACAGCGGAGCGGAATTCGTGCAGTCATCATCTTCATTCCGCGCTCCATCGACTTCAGGTTTGGTGATGGTCAGAAGGTACAGAGCACCTGCAATAGCGACACCAAGAGACAGCGCTGTTGCGATCCAGGTAGCCGGTGCGACGCCGTACGGCTCGACCACCCGGGGAATAATGATCGAGTTCGCAACACTGCCTAGTCTTCCCGCTCCTAGATTGAGCGCTAGCGCCAAAGAGAGGCTTTTATCTCTATGATCGGCGCGAAAGCTATTAGCGTTGCCCGGTGCGCTTCTAGAAACGAGGGTAATCACTGGAACCAACGCGTGACGATCTCGCATCCGATGACATTAACCACCTCTCCCCCGAGCCCTATCAATGCGCGGCCTACGACCATCCCAAACTCGAATTTGGTCTGGACAGCAAGTGCGAATAGCAATTGTCCGAGTATTATGCTGGACGTGATGACTACAAGCACTGTTCTTTCCCCGAACCGTTGCACCGCCGGTCCTGAGAGGAAGGGAAGAACGGTATTGGGAACGGCGTAGACGGTGTAGAGCAGTGAGATCAGGTAGGCGAACTGGTGGTCCGAGAGCGATAGATGCTTTGATAAAGGGGTCGAAAGCGATGCCGGGATGTCGTAGACTTGGGCATTGAGTATTAGTATGCGTTCGCAGCGGCCCTGGAGGGGTCATACTAAAGTAACCACCCCAGTTCATCGCCCCGACAGCTGCAAGAACGCGCCAGTGTATCATGGTTCGATCGGCTATGTTCCATTTACCGCCTCGTCTCGTTCAAGGACAATAAGTGGTAAATATAGTTGTCAGGGAAAGGCCACCCCGTGGGTGTATCACACGTAACATCAAGGCCAGCCATGTTGCGACACAAAGACCCGACCACCTGCACTGCGAGTCAACTGTTCCACACTGCAGACTCGAAGGAACCTCTACAACGACAGCAGACCCTAAAACGCCCATCAGCAGATAAGATCCGATTACGACTTTTCCGAGCGCTTTGATCACGCCCTGAAACACGACCACGACAACGGTCATGTATGAAACCGGCGGCTTTTGAGTGGTAGCAGTCCTGCGCGCAAGCAGGCATATCCTTGTAATTTATGCGAGGCGGGTGTCGCAGGAAGCGTGGCAGAAGGGGAACTTCCGTATGTATGCAAACGTACTGCGATTCCGGTGTACCCTGACAACGCACCTGACCTCGGACTTCTTAGCTGCTGACATTTCTGCAGGTGCGGTTACTTTACCTGCGGCCCTCGCCAACCACCCAACCGCGCCTCGCCGTTTCTGCAAGGCCAGTGAGCCTGACCAGTCAGTACTTCAACCGTTGGAGATTTAGATCAGGCATCTCCGCATAGCTCTAGTACACGACTTGGTTCTCATAATCACAAGAAATGGCAGCTCTTTATCCCTTGATCAGACGTAAATGGAAACAGAGTCCCATAAAGTCGACTCCGGAGCCAGCGAGGTTGTCGAGAGTCCTGCCATCACTGTGCGATGCTCTTCTCGACTCCGCGGAAGTGCGGGGTCCTTATCGCCGCTAATGACGCCTGTTCAACCTGACAGCGGCTTCCTGCATTTCAGGCAGAATCTCTTTTGCGAGAATAATAAGAGATGAAGCACTCCGTCTGGGTGGATTCTGCTCTGAAGTTATGAAAATGAGAAAAGAACGTCGGGCCAAGCTCGGGGTCCGGCCGAGAGTCGAGAGATCGACATTCCTAGCAATAAACAGTACAAGCTCGTACGTACCGGTATCGTACGATACGGTATGCTATACGGAGTACTTGATCGTATCCATCCCATGTCCATAGTAGCAACGGAGCATGCTAGACTGGATTAAGCATCAAGCTGCGACTGAAACCCAGAGCTCTAGTCTCTGAATTGAGTACCTAATGCAATCGATGCCCGATTCCTTGAGATCGCTCACATGAGCGATCGACATCTGACTATTGACTGCGAGGCCGGGGCTTGTCAACGATGACGGTTTTCTGCCGCATTATGTAAGCTAGGCGGTAAAGGAACATCCTTAGCTACCTTAATTATTGGTCAAGATCCTAGAAATATTATTATTTTTTACCTTATAAAACCCTGCCCTTCACAGTGGTAGCATGTTTAAGTTAATTAATTACTAAAAACTAGAAACTATATAATTATTTATTATTCCTGGGTTTTTTTATTTAAAATATCCATATGCCTTACCTTTATTAGTATTTAACTAATATTTAGTAAGCTTTACTATACTGGGACTTCCGTTGGTTAGTTACCTTGCTAATTTACTATCTTACCCCCTTGTTATTTAAGATTTACTTTTTTTTAGTATCCTACACTTTTAAACTTTTTTAAATCTTTTTTTTTTCTTGCCCCTTAAGCCTTTTCTTTTTACCCTTTAATATTATTATAAGGTGCTTCCTTTCTTTGCTGGAGCTTTTTATAAATTCTACCTTTTATTACCGCCTTTATAACCTTGCTTTTAATACCTTAGTTTTCTTAAAATTCTTATAATAGTTTAAATTAATAGTTAGCGTAATTAATGTTTAGCTAAAGGTTAGCCAAGCTTGCTTACTAATTAAACACTTTTAAAAAAATAAAGCATGCTTTTACTATTAATTTTAACTATATTATAAAGTACTTAATCCTTTTTTTTATTAAGTGTTTTAACACCCTTTTATTTATTTAACTTACCCCGTACCCTCTTGGCTGGGATCTTAATTAATTTATACTTAATAAAAAAATAAAAAAATTTTTACGTATAGTAAAAAGTAAAAGGCTTAATATAAAAAAGGAGTTCCTAAGCTAGGTTAGTAGGAATTTAGTAAATAAAATTAAAATAACTTTTTAACTTATAAACCTACTAGGTAAAACACACTCTTGCTTAATTTTTAAAATTATTAAACTAAAATAAAAGATTTTTACTTACCAACCTCCTAAAATTACTAAACTAAAATAGGAAATTTTTACTTATTAACTTTCTTGTACCTTTAAAAATAATACTATAAAAAATATTAAGCCTAAAACTGCTAGGCCTGCCATAAAACATGTAAATACTAAATAAATTATTAATATTAAAGCTAATTATAATTTAAGCTTAAATATTTTACTAAAAATAGCGTAAGTAAAAGAATCCTAGTCTAGCATTAAATTTAATAATTTTAAAAATAAAATAGCTACCTGCATAGCCCTAAAGCCAGAGGCTAGAGGTTTTTTTTAAAAAAAAAATACTAAGTTAGGAGCTACCTTGGGCTAGTAACTTTTTTAAGCTTTTAAAGGCTTGGGATTAGGATTTACCTTTTAGCTATAGTAACCCTTTAGATTTACCTTGCTTGGCAAGCAACCTATATAAATATAAATTATAAAAATATTTAATTAATTTTTCTTTTAGATTATTTAGCTAACTCCTATAACTATAATAATTATATTTACTAATGCCACCTTAGCATGAATTTTAATAGCTATTTAAATAATAAATACTAGTATTAACTAGATTAATACTATAATATAGTAAAGTAATAACTATTTAATAAAGCTAAAGAATTAATTAAATAAAATATAATAAATATAAAACAAGCAAAACCAAGAAATAAAGCTAAATTATTAAATTAATAAATTACTAGGTTAGCTAGCCGGAAACCAGCCAGCTAAAAACCATAATAAAAATAACTAAAATATAGTAAATAAAAATAGTGGTAACAGGGGTGGAATTTCTCCGGGACCTCCTGGAGAAGAGCTAGATAATTTAAATAATAAAGAAAATTTAAATTTAGGAAACCCCGGCGGTTAAAAATATCTAAAAGTTAAACTACTATTTAATTAATAGCTTATTAATCTAGTTATGTTTTATAGTAACTAAAAAACTAAAAAAATTAGCTTTTTTTATCCTAATTTAAAAAAAAAACATGGTTATTAAGTTAAAAGGTTCCTGTATATTTTATAAGAATATTTATATATTTATAAACCAGCTTCGCGACGTAATTATATATAAAAAAAAACTTATAATAAAAACTAACCTAATTACTTACTTTTATAAATTTACACTTAATTAGTATATATTATAGCTTTTAAATATTAAAAAGCTTAGTTTTTAAAAGGGTGCTATAAAAAAAGAATAAATTTTTTTACTAATTAAGTGTTTTAAGCTAAACCCTTATACCTTTTTTATAAAGCTTTAAAAAATAAAGTATAGCTTTGCTAACATAAAAATTAAAAGCTTATTTAAATTTTATACTTAAAAGGTTATTAAATATTACCGTGGCTTTAATATTTATAATAAAGCTAATTAAATTTTAATAATTTAGTTTTATTTAAATCCCTTTTTATATTAGTATATCCCCAAGCTAAATAAATAAATTATACTAAATATGTTTTTTTAAATTTTAAAGTTTAAAAAGTTCTTGTGGTAGGACTTGCTCGTGAAATATAATAAAAAAAAGTTTTTTTATTTATTTACTTTTTTAAAGTAAAACCATAGCTCGCGCTAGGATTATCCTACCTATAGCTTTAAATTTAAGCCTTATAAATAATAAACTAACTTTAAACCTAGCCCTGCGCGTGGTGGTTATAATTACTAAGGCTATTTAATATACACCCCGCGCCCTTATAATAATAGCTAGAACTATTTAGTACTAAACTAAAATTATTTATTATATAGCTAGTAATAAAACTATAGTTAGTAGTAAAATTATAGCTAGTAGTAATAATATTATCCCTTAGCTTATTATATAAACTAGTTTTTAAACTTTTAAAATAAAAACTAAAAAATAAACCATTACTAGTAAAACTAAAATAACTTAGTAAATTATTTATAAGCTTATACTACTAATATAAATACTTTGCTAAATGCTAACTAGCAAAACCTTAATTAACATGCTTTTTACTAAGATGCTAACTTATAATTTAGCTAGAATATATATTTTAGTAACTTTACTTATTTTATCCCTTTTAAAATTAATTCTTTTATATATTATAATATGTAGTATATTCCTGCCCTTAATTATTATTAAAACCCTATAATATTTAGTAAGCAAGATAACTATAAAGTTTTAAAATTAAATTTTAAGCCTAATATTAGTACTAGTTTTATAAATACTTATTATTAATAGTTTAAAATGGTTGCTTGCCAAGGTTATTAAGTAGGTTTTTTATTAAATAATACCTTGCATAAATACCTAAAGACTTTCCCTAAATATTATTATTTTATAAAAAGCGCGTTAAATAAAAAAATTAATACTTTATATATTATACTAATTATTAATCTAGCTATAGCGTAAATTATTAAATTTAACTAAAAACCTTATAATACCTTTTTATTATAAACCTATTATAATGCTATAGTCTTAGCTAGTTTAAATATTATTACTTATTATATAAAAGTTATTTTTAATACTAGATATTTTTAGTTTATTAATAACAAGACTTTTTTATAAAGTATTTTAAAAGTTAAAATTATTCCCGCCAAGTAAAAAATTTATGTAAATAGTTTTTATACTAAAATATCTTTAAATACTTATGCTAAATTTAACATATATTTTCCTAGCCTAGTATTTAATAATTTATTTATAAAGTTTTTTATTACTACTTTTTTAATTTTTAACACTAATATTAATCTCTTGCTAGGCATAAAAATCCTAGCAGGGGAGAATATTATATTATTTAATAATTACTTTATAATATTTATAGGATCTTATAAAGGCCTAAAAGTTTTTATAGCTTATTAAGCTTTGCCTAAGGGCAAGTGGTTACTAAGC